TAAGGTCATATCGATACGATGTCGTTGCAAGAACCGAGCCCAGAGGGGAGGGAGGGGGTTCACGGCTTTCGAGTTTCTGAGGTCAGCGTCACTCTGGACGCAAGTACCCTCTACGGCGACTATTGGGCACTGCATCTAGGGCTTCTTAATAATCGCTCGATGGCGCGATTTGAAGCCCGACCATGGCTGTATGGCACCGTATCGTGGCACCCATAAGGTTTTTCCCCAACATTTTTGGGTTGAATTCTGGCAATTATGTGAACAGCTGTGGCAGAGCCAATATGCAGAGTTTTGGGCTGACATACGTGTCTCCCAGCTGCACGATTAGCGCCAGAATGGCTTCTGTGCTCAACGCGCTTCGCTTGGATGGATCGTCAGCCTTCGAGCGTGCTTTCCGGTGAGTTGTTTTCTCGTTACATCATTGAAATCGTTGTCCCTTTATAGACGAGCTTTCACTGGACAAAATGCTGCAGAAAACAACACTCGGAGTTAATGAATGGGATGCGCCACACATTTGATTTCCAATCGAAATCTTGGAACCATTCGAATGCTTAGCTCTCAAACTTCACAATGGCATCAATAAGACGACCGTTCAAGTCGTGTATGCACTGTTAGCTTATTCTAGGAAAAAAAGGTCTGAGAGGCAAGAATAGGTGGTTTACGATTCTACTATGTTTTAGCCGCGTAGCCATGTGTAGTTAAAGAGGGATTGCCTAGTGCAATGTACCACGCAGAAGTTACTAAGAACCCCAGCAGTGAACACGTTGCCCACCTACAGCCGTGTGGAGCATCCTCACGCCGAGGCAAATACCTTACGCTGAGCTTTTTCACCGGCCAGGCCCACACACTTTTACTAGTGAAGAGCCTCGTTCAGAAGAAAATCATAGAGGGCTTCAAAAGAAACGCATCTTCTCAGATTGAGAATAATGGCGAACCCGGCGGCAGGCGGGACAGGAACGTCTTGAGAAAAACGTATATGGGCATGGCTAGTATAAACACGGTCAAGAAGCCTAATCCTTCATCTTTATCGAGAGGGGAAGAAGGGGTGTGTCGCCTCTTGTCGGAAGTTTGCGAATTTTTGAGCAGCCGAGCAGGAAAAAGGTGCCTTCTAGGAAAATATATAAACAGGTTCATAACAATGACCCAGGAAGACCTGTTATAATGTCACTACCAACAAGTTACCGTCAATGCACCACTCGGAACTACGCAAGAGGGACCATCATTTTTCGCGCCGGATCACCTCACAGGTAAGAAAAACTCAGCTAAAATCCTCGGGAAGGATTTGCTACTTCTAGATAATTCAAAAGATATGGACAGCTTACTCGGTTCAAATGGCATTCCAGCGAGTTTTGCGATACGTTTACGACTTTCTTCACTCTCAGCAAATCGTCCTGAAAAACCAACCAGCAAAATTCTTCACGAAAAATCACCTTTGAAAGTTAAGGTTTTTCGCATACTATTTGCCTAAGCAATATATGACTGTTCCGGACACAGAATAAACAACACAATACAGAGCTTTAATCACAAGGCGGATTCGCTGACAATACGATGGAAAGACGCCAATTTCTCCAGACGAAACAAAGCAGCACCAGTGTCCAGCATGATAGTCCAGTAGCCTAGGAAAACAAGTGAGGACTTTTATTCTTTCGCTTTACGCGGTTTGCGGGACAAACTTTGCTGTTCTATTCATACAGGGACATAATGGTGAACACTGTGTGCGTCAGGCACACACACGAATCACATCTTTTGAATGCCAAGCGATGACTTCGGGCTGGACCGAAACGGAAATTTGCATCGGGGATCTCCTTACCCCCACTAAAATTGGGAAGACTTTCAGCACGCACCACATGGCCCACTCTTATAGGAACATCTCCCAAAAATGTTCAAATTTAGACGACCAACACGATGTGGCTCTCGGCGGGCCTGTCCGTAACATTGCGTCAGATTCACAAAAACGCTCAGTTTTGGAACCAAGCTTCAGAGTGGTCTCTAAGGTGCAATTTCATTCTCTTCAGAATCCGTCCTCTCCGTTAGGCTCAATCTCACTGTTAACGGTCTTTCTTAAAGACTGCCCCCCCTCCCGTAGGCCCATTAAGCTAGGCCGACTTGATAGCCGACTGGTTAGAGGAGTCTATGGACAAACCAGACTCAAAGAAAAGGGCATGGCGCACTCTTTGTAGATCTAAACAATTAAAGCGAAATAACCTACCCAATTACTGAATGTCCTTAGTTTAAATCTTTGATGTGATGAGACTAGCTCAGAAAAGTATGCCCATCCGACGATCATGGTAATAACTTCGTATAGCCACTGACATAAATTAACAATGAGCGTCACGAACCAGGTCCATAATACTGCGCAAATAATCCCGGGATTCACGTCCTCGGTACTATGTGGAAAGCAATATTATATTAATTGGCGCTGTATCATATTAACTGGACCACGCGAATGCGATACGGCTTAAAGCTCGTTAGGAAGATAAGAACAGGGCATACATGTCGAAACACCTCTCGAACAAGTCAAAAAATCATTACTTCGCTTTTTTCGCGGGCATGGAATTCCAAAAATCCAATAAACGTACCCGACAGAGCTAGAGCCGGGATTCCGATGAACAGCGAAATCACGTAGGTCTTACGACGTCCGATTCGATCCGCCACCCATCCGAGAATGATGTTTCCGATCAATACTCCAATGTATTGTGCAAAAGCTGGACGGAAACTGAAAACAAGAGCTACTCGTTTTTACCCAAGACTTTTAGAATTTTGGAGCAAAACAATGGCTTTGTACTCCGGCGAAAGCTTTACTCCTACCGTAATCTTTGTAGATCGTCGAAAAAGGTACGGTAAGGCAGGGGTAAAAAATTTTTTATGTATATGGTCTATTCGGATACAGTTTCGTTCCATATGTGGCTGTGATGTTTACATTACGAAAGGGGCCATATTTAGGACAGCAGGCCTGGCCCGCAGCACAAGGAAAGAGTGATTTTTAGCTTTAATATCGGATTTCAAAGGTTTCGGCAGGAATGCGAGGCCTACGTTCCTTCTCTCTTTCTTTTCCTTTCTTTCCTTTTCCTTGTTTACTTTCATCCAGCTTGGCCATTCCAAATTTCATATCATTCTCATCATTTTTAAATGTAGCACAAAAACGTACTCTTTCCAGCCGGGTTTGCAGAAGAGATTGAATTCCATGGCAGCAGATTTATAATAAGCATGCGAATACTTTGCGACGCATTCTGCCTGAAAAAAAAACTTGAAATTAATTTTTTTGGAAGTTATTATATTTTATATAAATATATTTTTATTTCTTAAATTTCCAGAGGATTTAAAAAAATGTCTCGTGAACAGTATGGCTGATATTTATTTTAAAAAGCTGTTGGAGATGTTTTGGTATTGATTTAGTCAAATTAGTTCTGTAAAAAAACAGAATAAAAAATATATAATAAAAAATAAAAAATAATACAATATAATAAAAAAATAAAAAATAATACGATAAAATATTCAATAACTTACCTTGGCTGCCGGTAAAGTAGAATTAGCGCAGAGATCTGGACAGTCTGGGCATTCCATGCACCTGCTCTTCGGGGTATCGTAACATTTCTGTCCTAAACGATCAATTATTGATTTTCTGATGTGAGTGAGTGCAATATTTCTCATGGATAAAGTACCGATAGGAGACTTCGAAAGACCTTCAAAAGGACGTAATGAATTTGAAACCCACTCTTGTTAGCCTCAAACTTGATGGGATGAAAATAAGCCACCCTTTTCAGGCATATTTGAGAATGATTCAAAAGCAACATTCCGGTAGGCGTAAACCAAATGTAATGCTCTGCTATTCTCTTACAAGGGAGGTCGTTCAGGGTGTGCCAAGCTTTTTCAAAATGGTTTCTTGCATGACATTGGGGCACATATGGGGACCACAGAAGCATGGTTCATTTTTCCTGAACGGCCCTCTGAATACCAGAAAAGGGGTCCCTAGTTCGATTCCTCGTGGTGACAAATTTTTGCATTTCGAGTTGACGTTTCAAAATTCGCGCAAAATGGAGTTAGCATGAATAATTAGTACCAAATTCATGATTAGGACCGTCAGTAACCCTTACAAATAGACTTTGATTGAAAAAAACTGGTGAAAAAGGTGTGACTAGGGACCCCCTTTTCTGGTATTCAGAGGGCCGTTCAGGAAAAAATTAACCATGGTTCTGTGGTTCCCGCATGTGCCCTATATCATGCAAAAGACCGTTTTGAAAAAGCTTGGCACACCCTGAAAGACCTTCCTTGTAGTGCTTGAAATCTGAACTCGGACCTCCCCTTCGCACGGCAAAATTATCACAGATAGAGCTTAGGAAGAACGCTCTGAAAATCCATTTTTGTCTGGTTTCTGCCAGTTCCGGCGGAAATGAGGCCAAACAAGCGATGCTTATTTATAACAGATACACAGAATTCGAGGCAATTTTCTCGGAACCTCCACGACTAGTGCGCCAGCGACTATTTTTGGCCTATTGACTTATTCTTTCCGGGAAAATAACAGAGATCGAAAATAGGTCTCCCAAATGGATTTGTGAGCGACTAGAGTCACAACTACTCCCTCATGTTTTTTTTCGATTCACAAAAATTTTTGCTAAGATCTTCCTTCTTGCCATCTGACAAGGGAAACAAGTTGTGCCTCGCATACTCCATCCCTTTGTTCGGCACTAGAGGAGTCAAAGGGGAAACTCGACCTTGATCCAGAGTCAAATTCGCGGTAAAATGGCACCTGCGATGAAACATCCATCGCGAAGATGGCAATTATTTTTCAATGACTCGATGACGTGCCCAGAACATATTAAAGAGCGTCTACTAGGAAAAACATCAGAATTTACGCCTGCTTGCACAAATCATCGAGAATCACAGTAATTCGATTGTAAAACTTGTCGCTCACCTACACAGAAAGTTTTCGGCGTATAATTAAGGAAGATCGGGAATAGTTGCTGTACTCCGAAGAAGTGATTCATTTGATAGGTGAGCAGAATGAGTATGTCGAACCGGTAATAACCTGAAAGAGACCAATCAATTATCGATTTTTCATGCATTTCTGCGAGCTTTTTTTCTCAACCCCTCATTTCAAGCAATTCCCACCCTGGATAAGGTTCTAGAACTCAGTTGGCATTCAGGGCTGCCTTGTGGTTTTACTTGTAGGACCTTATTTGAGGATCAAATGATACCTAAATAACGTGATCCTCTGCTAACTTCCCCACATGGTCAGTGGGTGTGCCAATGCCAGCGTTTAGTTCTGGCCGACACACCTGCTGATGGCTACCCGCAAAGTAACAGCTATGACCAAAGTTAGCCAAAATCGGTGAAGAAGCTGGAAATGTCACCCGAAGGTAGCCCACAGAACTCACGTCTCTGTGGTCAGTACGCGAACGCTTAGGCCGATGTCAGACTTTGCGAATCGCGCGATTCGCTAGCGTCTGCGGTCGCGTCGCGGCCAGTGAATCACTCAATTGGCTGGTACCGCAACGCGACCGCGGACGCTAGCGAATCGCGCGATTCGCAAAGTCTGACATCGGCCTTAGGGGCGAAGGGCCACGCCAAGGGAGCTTGTTATTAGTGGGGCTCAGTTTAGGGACTAATTAGTAATTCTTCGGAGGTTGTTGTCCGGATGAAATACTGACGCATCAATGGAAAAGGCTTGATTGGAGCGTGAATCATGATCTTGGATCGACCTCAGACGACGATTTTGTGAAACCTCAAGCCAAGTGAATGAATGTCCACCTGTCAACCCACTAACGGCCGATTAAATTGACGTGAATAAGACCAATGAATGCCGCGACTTTGGGAAGAGAGGAGCTGGAGACTTTCTCGGAACATACCACCAAGTTTCTTCTTTCTCATCCATGAAGCATTGTCGCTTCGCCGAAAGGTGGTGATCACCCGATCATCGCTAAAACTCTTCCAACGCCGTAAGTCGACCGGTGTGTCGCCTCGTTTCATAGCAAATGAGGAAATTGGAGCAACATGCAAACTTACCAAAAAATTACATCCAGTGATAACAAACAACTGAGAATTGGAGCTATCCTACCAAAAATTATCCAGCTAATAACTCTTCTACGGATGTCTGCAACAAGGGGGAAGAGACCATGTGTTTAGTCGCACCTATCGAAATTAGAGCGGAGGAAGCATTGCCAAATGTCTTTCGTTCAGAGCAATGTTGGTGGAGGACTGAGGACGAGTTAAGATTGATTTGATTCTATCCTATAGTATAAGGCTAAGTCAACTCTGAGCGCGGAATAGGATAGTCTTTTGGGTGGCACATCGAGGATCATCGAGTAGTAATCGTGAAAACAATTCCTTCAGGAACCATCAACCACCCACCAAACGGGTACTCGACTTCGCGTGACTGGCTTTCCTACACGAATTGCACTAATATCGGCGGGGCTTCACACCTTTTTTCCGCCTATTGGTTTTATAAGGTCTCGCTTGTCTTTGCCTTCAACAAAACTTCAACGCCTAAATCTCGAAAAAGTAGTTGGAGATTTCAAGGCTTTTGGGAAGACTTACGTGTGCTTATTGTTAAGTACTAGGCGCCAGAGCAGCCGCAAACCAGGCAACTCAGTCAGAGAACCTCCATGACACCGTTTCTCCGAACCTTCTATCGTCGGTAAATGTTCTTGCCGTTTTGAATCACTACGAACGACATCGAAACACACAATTAAGATACGAGCAATGGCTAGGTTTCAGAGAGTCAGGTGAGTTGATATCTGACGGTACCATGAGAACATCTGTTAGTGACAAAGGTGACAAAGATCGCTTGGTTGATGGCATAACCGAAGCGCATTTGCAAGTCCCCGATCTTTCGGCTTGTGAGTGAAAAGAATTTTTTCACACTGCAAATAACTTAATTATATATGGTTGCACACAGCTTGATGCCAGACCTTACGAACAGCTTATCACGTTAGAATAAATCGACTTACTCTCCCAAGAGGGGTACCGCGTCAAAAGAAGTTGCCCGTATGTCCAATGAATGGCCTTCCTAGATGATTCCCTCCAAAAACAGGTCATCTTACGCCGCCTATAATGGACTGTGAGCTGTAGACTTAAGCGTACATGCGTCTCCTAATTATTACTAATCCAGCGACATCATGCATTATTTCTTACTGACCAGCGCTTCTGCTTGGTAGCGGGATTCCCCACCAAACGGTCCCTGAGTCTTGCACATGTTTCTCAGTGACGGACTTGGACTGCGTAACCGCTGGGAAGGGTCTTAGGTGATTCTGGGATGGGGGGGGGGGTCTTAACCTTAAACCGCTTCTGGTCACAGATGACGATTTTGTCAAAAAGTTAGGCCGATTGAATAAATGTCTCACCCATCAATCTCGAAAGGCAGAAGAAACTAACAAACAATCAGGAACAAAAATGCGTTTCAAGAACTCACCGCGCCGTGGCTTCAACAATGCATGGTGGCGGTTTGTGTCTCTCTAAGATCTTCAACCGCACCGTATACCCTGAAACCAATCAATACAAAATTAATACGGGTGGGAAATTTTCGGGCGCTAGGAAAACGGCTACAACAGATGTATAATTGGCTGGAAAAGTGACACACCATGATAAACAAGCCAAAAAGAAACAGAGAGTCTCGGAAGCATGACAAAAGAATTAATCGTTGTTTGAGCTACTTCCAAAATGGAATGGGCCACGTCCGACCAGTCTGGCGCAAATGCGATGCTTAGGTATTGGTTGCGTATTTGTCCTATGAAATTACTCGGGTTGGCTCTATTGAAGACAATAGTGCAAGCACTTCTACATCATTTGATGTATCAATCGAATGACTGTCGGAAGAATGATGAGTTTGACTGGCACAGAGAAGAGCAAGACTTCGAACAGTGTAAGGGCAAAACTGAAGCCGCGCTAACATAGAATTCCACCAAAACATTGGCTTGTTTGATTGCTTTTCTTATTAGTTAAGGTTCCGATATTTTTCTTAATTTTTTTAAATAAAAAGATAGACACTGAACCATGAAATGATACTGATTTCCATAGGCTAGTCGAATTTTTTTTTGAAGAAAATATTATTAGAGAGGATCGAGAATCAAAAGGCCCACACATTGAATACGAACGGTATCCAATAAATAAAACTGGTCATGCAGTAGGATGTTCCCAAATGAGCGAAAAAAGCTATCAAGGTCGCTCTGAGTCGGAAACCTGAAGGAAAAGCAAGCGTATTTCTGACAATTGCAGGGGGCGGATTCCTGCGAACTGGTTTGAGAGGTCAAGATGGGTAAGTCAGACGGCAAGATCAGAGTTCTGTGGATTCAACTCACGTATTTTTATATAACGCTTATTATTACTGTTATTAACTATTTATTTGTTACGTACGATGGTTTTGTTGCTTCTTCTTTATATTATTTTATTATTATTATTATTTATATTATTATTATTATTATTATTATTATTATTATTATTATTATTATTATTATTATTATTATTATTTATTATTATTTTATTATTATTATTATTATTATTATTTATTATTATTTATTATTATTTATTATTTATTACAGTGTTCATTTATGTATTTTCGTTTTTTATCCGAATCGCACAGAGCTTTGAATCTGCATCGGTCTTTAACTCTCAAGAGGACCGTTTGATCATTAGGCATTTTATAAATGCATTCTGATCAAACATATAAGATGGGCATTTGTGGTTAGGTTTCTGAGCCAAAAATCTCAAACATCCACGTGCAATGACTTTTCTCCATCTGCGCTAGGACGTGGCTTTTTAAACAGATTACGTGATCGTACGTGCTCTGTCATTCCTCCAATCGCTGCAGAGTTTAGAGTTTTCTGGATTACTAACAAAGCATACAACCGTTGCGTCACCCTTGGAAGGAGAAATCCCAATTAGGTTTTCCCTGTCCTTATAGGAAATCGCCCATCCACTTACTTCTACTGATGTTATTTTCTTAGACATTGCGTGATTGAGTAGTGGGTACAGGGTAGGCAAAAATTACGCTAGCAAGGGGTTGCCTCTGCCAAATATTAATTTTGAGCACCTTTTTGATTTTTTGACTTTTTGATGCGTATTCTGTGTGATTATTCTGATAATTCAGTATTCCATCTTTACTTGGACTGTACTTCAAAAATTCGCGGCTATTTTGGCAACCATCGATACGCTTTTTTTGAAAAGGCACACCAAAGAGCCTGAGTAGAGCAAACGAATAAGTGCATTGGTTGACTTTGTATGCGCCGTGCATAGCAGCAGGTTCAGTATTGCAGAGACGGTGGAGAATTTGTGGCCAAAAAACAGCTGGTGAGTGTCTGTGACTCATGTTAGACCTTCAAGGCAGTTTATGCTTTTAGGAATCAGAAGTTTGTACCCCACAGAGCTACCATATCATGTACGGGGGACAGCGGGTGTCTTCTATTCATCGCAGCTGAATTTGGCGTAGCGCCGGCTGCTCGCTCTCACTTTCGTTTGGAAGGGTTAAAGAATATAAAGAAGTAATGAATATCTTTGATATGGGATGGTTATCTCGCTAACAACCCTAATCTAACGACTGACTTGACCTTTGCCTGTACTATCCCTGGCCACTGAATGTGAAGGATATGAGCCTCTAGTGCCAATATGCCTTAAGGCGATCGATGATTAGCTTCAATACTAACCATAAGGGATCGCTTCGGGAGAATGCAAGAAGAATGAGACAATTTCTGCAGGTCTTCTAGAAAGCCATACAGGGAAATGGCCATCTGGCACGGGCTAGGAAGATCATTCCGGATGCTACGCTTAGGAAAAGCTCGTGAGGGAGGTGATTCCCATGTCCCAAACCCAACTCAAAATCTAGCGCGTTTATGATGTGTTGTGAATCTCGGGATAGGCTGATTGCACCTGTTAAGGAAGGCTTGTAATACATATTGCAAAGATGCTGAGTTTAGGCCAGACCCCTTGCCTCACCCAGGGTTCGATCTCGGACCTAGTGAAGGCTTCCGTCGCCATGCTGTTGAACATTGATTCGTCCCACATGTCTCTAAGTTTTATCGTCTTCTTTTTCCATAATTACTAACATATACGCTGAACTTGTGGTAGCAAGTAT